GTTCTGATTCTGGGCTTTATCGGTATCAATATGCCACCTTTCCTTATCCTTGCTGCCCTACTCTCTGTTGCTTACATTTACTATCAACAGTACTACATCACATCGTCCAGGGACTTGAAACGTATTGTTTCTGTATCAAGATCTCCAATATTTTCCCATCTTCAGGAAACACTTAACGGGTTTGAAACTATATTGGCATTTGGACAAAGCGACCGGTTCCAATTCATTCAATTTGAGAACTTGGCCTTCCATCTAAAGGTTGTCTACATGTTCAGATCCATTAACAGATGGTTGTTCAGCAGATTGCAGTTTATGGGCTCCATAGTGATTTTTTCCACAGCATCATTGGCCATCTTACAAGGTATAAGTGGTGGTATGGCAGGTTTGCTGATCACTTACGCCTTGAGTGTCACATCTTCTCTTAGTTTTATCGTCAGAATGACCGTGGAGGTTGAAACGAACATTGTTTCTGTTGAGCGAGTTCTTGATTACTGTGATCTACCACCTGAAGCTGATGAAATCACGAACGTTAGACCACCTGAGCACTGGCCAACAGAGGGAGCTGTTAGATTTGACCACTACACTACAAAGTACAGAGCTAACTTAGACCCCGTTTTGAACAACATTTCATTCGAAGTTAAACCAAGAGAGAAAATCGGTATCGTTGGAAGAACAGGTGCAGGTAAAAGTACCCTATCTCTTGCGTTGTTTAGAATTATTGAGCCCACTGAAGGTCGAGTGCTTATTGATGATGTTGATATCACGAAGCTGGGCTTGCATGATTTGAGAAGTAACCTGGCCATTATACCACAAGATTCTCAGGCATTTGAAGGCACTGTGAGACAGAATCTGGATCCTCTGGGATCATACAAGGATGAACAACTATGGAAGGCGTTAGAATTGGCACATTTGAAGCCATTTATCGAAAACCTGGATAAGGATGACACCGACGGAAACGTGGGGCTCGATGCCAAACTTTCAGAAGGAGGCTCAAACATGTCTGTTGGCCAAAGACAACTTTTATGTCTTGCTAGAGCCCTTTTGAACCCTTCAAAGGTGCTGGTTCTCGATGAGGCCACTGCTTCTGTTGATGTCGAGACTGATAGAGTTGTTCAGGATACAATCAGAAGTGAATTCAAAGATCGGACGATTTTAACCATTGCCCACAGAATCGATACCGTTATGGACAGTGATAAGATCCTTGTCCTTGAAAGTGGTGAGGTTAAGGAATTTGATTCCCCTCAGAATCTCTTGAAGAATAAGGATAGTATGTTCTATCACTTGTGTGAGCAGGGTGGGTACATTGGAACATCTAGCTCGACTTCAACATCTGAAGCCACTAACTAAGCCTACGGACAAAATTTATACTAAGTCATACTAGAAACAAATATTTATAAAAGGCACTCAATGATACTTAACACCAGATGTGGAAGAATCTTGTGTACATGGGTATTGTAAGCTCTTGTCTTTCTATAAGGAGCTGCTTAAGCCACTCCATACCAACTTGTTTTCTGCCCGTATCTGTATCCATACCCACTGCTTTGATGAGAATAGTCCAGTTTTACTTTCAAAGCTGCTTTCTCTCCATCTGATGTGCTCTCTCTGCTATGTACTACTCTCTACCTGATGCTTGAGACAGAAGCAACCATAGACGTTCTTATAGCTCCAATTTTGAACCACAACCAAATGAGCCCACCAGAAGATCACATTCCTTGCTTGTATCCTACTAAGAAGCCTGATGCCTAAAATTCCCCTTCCATAGAGCTATGATACACACGCTACGAAGGTCTCAGTAGGAGACAACCCTGACCAACTCTATAGTGTTCCAAACACGTGATTGAGATCAACGCCTTTAAACCCTCATATGCGTTGTAGTGCGTCTGCTAGCCTGTGGCTCCACTGTGAGATGATACTTTACACCAGATTGTATGGTAATCTCAGCACAACCACTCTGCCTGGAGCCAAAGAACGAGGTAGGAAGCGACATGGTTTTATACTGTCGTTCAACATGCTTCACAGCGTGAATATTTTCACACATGTCGGTACTTCAAGACGATTGAAGGTCAAAATGATACAAAGAGACGAAGATGCACGCAGTTGTACTTCCACTGCTTAATTCCATGCTGTTGTGTTGCGTCAGGAGTATCACAACTTCCAATCTTCTGGCACATTTCACACTCATCATCGCTGGTGAGAACGTAAGCGTAGCTCTCGTGCTATATTGTGGTGAGTGTTTCGGAGCTGGACACTTCCCGTATAGGCATATACGATCTTTCTTACTAAATAGCTCATGATTACAAGACCCTTACTGAAATGCAAATGCTTTAATATTAAACAGTATAATAACTTGCCCAGGACAAGTGCGTCAATCGTCAATCATACGTACCTTAGCACCAAATGTGGAAGAATCTGATGTATATAGGCTTAGATGCAAGCTCCTGTTTTTCTATAAGGATCTCTTGTTTGAGCAACTCCATATCAACTTGCTTTCTTCCTGTGTCTATATCCATATCCTCTGCTCTGATGAACAATGTCCAGTTTCTCTTCCAAATCTTATGAGCTACATAGAAGGCAATGAAGATACACAGCGACAAAAACACCTCAAAGAATGACTTAGCATCTGCAGAGCTTCCAGGGAACAGAGCGACCCAGAACTGGCCTGCTATGACCAGAAAGTTCATACCAACACCGTACAGCGAACCCCACACTCCGAACTGAGCGACGTAGGTGAGCTCATCGGTGTTTCTTCCTTGTGCTTGTAAAGCTCTTCTGAATCTAACATGGGAAAAGCAGATACACATCCATGCAAAGATCGTGGAAAGACCAGAGAGGGCAGAAAGCCATAGGAACACCTCGTCTTCCTTGTCAGAAGCTGCGATGAATGACAATAACCCGATGAACAACGTGACAAAAGTGGCGTACAGAGGTCTACCTGTTCTATCGATGTAAGACAAGAACTTTGGAGCATGACCAATGTCGGCCAATGAAGCCAGCACTCTTGAAGAGGCATACACTGATGAATTTGCAACAGATAAGATGGCAATGAGAATAATAACGTTCATGAGAGATGGCAGGCCCTTGATGCCTGCATTTTCAATGGCAATGACAAAAGGCGACACTGATGCGTAAGAGTCACCGTTTAACAGTCTATCGTCGTCGTATGGAACTAGACATCCAATCAATGTCAAAGTAACTATGTAGATACCGGTGACGAGCCAGAATGTTTGCTTTGCAGCCTTTGGAATGGTCTTTCTTGGGTTTGACGTCTCAGCTGCTGTCATACCGATAAGTTCAGTACCAGCAAACGAGAAAGCAGCAGTGACAAAGACAGAGCAGACACCTTTGAACCCATGCGAAAAGGCACCTGGATCATGCCAGTATCTCCCTCCAATGTAACCACCTTCTGGACCACCACCACAGATCAGCACAATTCCCAGAATGAAAAATCCCAGCACAGCAATGATCTTAATCATGGAAAGAATCACTTCTGACTCCGCATAGTACTTGACATCAAGCATGTTCAGGACACAGATGAAGACAAAGAACACAGCCACCCAAACGTCGGAGTTGATATCTTCACGCCAATATTGAATTGTAATGGCTGCAGCAACTAGCTCCAATGGTAATAAGATCAGCCACTGTAGAGCATAGTTCCATCCCATCGCAAAGCCTACAGATGGATCGATGAATCTGGTTGCGTAGGTCGTGAACCCACCAGTGACGGGGAAAGTAACACACATCTCACCAAGCGCAATGGCAGTGGTCAGCATCATGGTTGCGATGATTGACCAGCCAATGACCAAAGCCGCAGGACCACCTGTGTTCAGAGCACCACCTGAGTTGACGAATAAACCTGTGCCGACAGAACCTCCTATAGCAATCATCATAAGGTGACGTTGTGTCAGCTCTTGCTTCATATCGGACTTTGATGAGTTCAGAGCAGCCTTCTCGATATCAGTGAGGTCCTTATAATCCCTGACGTCGGCATGGCGGAAATCAGAGCTGCTATCTGATTCCAGTGGAGGCTTGAAAGAGTCTTTGAACCTCTCCCAATGGTTGAGTCTCTTGTGTGTTGTCTCCGTAGCTGGAGACTTTAACGAGTTGGAGTACTCTATATCCGACATATCTTGCACGCAATCCTATCAACAGGGTTAATTGACTATGAGTGAAGAGCACAGTGGCAGATAGAGAAGAGAAGGAGAAAGATGAAAAGTTTTTTTTCTTTCTTTTTCATATACGTATTTACGTCCCCTGCACGTATAACATGATGATGACTCTGGTCCTTGGAGCGCCTATGATGTGAAAATTTGACGTGTAAGAGAGGGAAAAAAGAAATTAAGCGATATGACTCGTGGTGACAGAGTGGTTGCCGAGTCCAGCAGGGTGTACAGGACGAGAAGCTCGAGGTTGGGATGGCCGGTGTCTCTCGTAAAAGGTCAACATCAATCTCACGGGAAGCAATGCGGCCCTCTAGTCGTCAGACTGGACGTGTCGTAAGTTAATTCACAGTCTAACGCTACCCAATGATCTTCGTCCGGTTTCCCAGTTGACACGGAGTTTGACACATAGAACTCAACCGTTGGAGTGGGAGGAAAAGGGCGGATTGAAGGAGAGGACGACGCAATCAAGAGATATGGGTATTATTTATAACACCGACGCTAAGGACGTACTCTTGCAGGCCTAAACAGCACAGAGAATATGAAGCCAGGGGGAGCGAAAAACCGGCTCAACAGTGTAGATGCTGTGGACAGTTGTCCACGCGGTGAATACACTTATTCCCACCAGCAATGAGCTAAAAGGGCCTTCAGGAACTGGAGATCTCACGAGTTTCACAACAGGTTTGAGTTTCCCTGCTGATGGGAAAATGCAACAAAACGCATGCGATGGAAAACTTTTTTCTGAGGAAAACGCCGTTTATGTGTCCCGTACCATGCCGAATGCTCCGTATTGGGTAATTTCCCGATTGGGTGTTTTCGCTGTTCTACCCCCTCCCCCGCGGTGTGTTTGCCGCGCGGCTAATTTCTCCTTTGTTTACTTTTTAGCACTCGCTCTTCCTTCCATCAACAACAACAACAACAACAACAACAACAACAACAACAACAACAACAACAACAGCAAGCGCCTCGTGTTTTATAAAGCAAGCCATGGCCTCTCAGTTCTTCAAAGATTCCCACGGTGGCAACAGGTTCGTCCCACGCTCTCTATCGTTGAACTTGGGTGCCTCGTTCGCATCCGCCGGTGTTTCTGCTGTTGCCGCTGTGCCTTCCGCTGATGTTGATACCCACGGTGAAAGCGGTGCTCAGAGGCCTCAGACGCTCGATGATTCCACAGATTCGCATTCCAGCCCGAGAGATACGTCCACTGCGCCTTCAACTGTTGTGTCTTCGAATTTTTTCCACGCCAAAAGAGCCGTAAATGACACAGGTCCTGGTGGAGTTGTTGGTAACGGCTCCTCTGGTCACATGGAAAAGGTGTTCAAACTCAACGTGAGACCCCTACACCCTTCTCATGAAGAGGGAGACGACATTGAAATCACCGATATTAGAGAGATCTCGAACCCTGATTCTTCCAGAGGTGAAGACAATACGGACGAGTCTCAACTGGAGACATCATCGTCGAGTGATTTGTTAATGGATGCCTTGGTCAAATCGCAAAAATTATGCAATGGGTTGAAACAGAAATTAGAATCCGCAAATATGAAGATCCAGTCACAATGTGCATTTATTGAATCCCAACTGAGTACTATCGAAACTATAAAGGGCAGTTTCAAAACCTTCAAAACAAGCATGGCCTCTATTCAATCAAACCTTGTCCAGTTGAAAGATTCTAGAAGATCTGATAATGATATCATCAACACGTTTAAAGTTGAACACTCTGGAGTTTTGGAAAATATATCCAACGTGAAGTCCGAAATCACCAGCATCAAGAAGAGGATCGATCACATAAGACAATTAAAGGCAGCTTGTACTTATGAATTCGATAAAAGTATACAGACCAAATCATCATCTGGATTTGTTATCTTACCCATGAGCGGTTTTACTAACAACGAAATATACAGAATCTGGAGAGGTGAAGGCCTTACAAGAAAGGTTGGATGAAACGTCTGGTTTGCTTTCAGAACAAAAAATCAAATCATTAGATCTTGAAAAGAAACTTGAAAGTTGTCGTCTCAATTATGATACCAGAGTTAAAGACCTTTCCTTTGATGTTGTTTCATTTGAAAAAAATGTTATAACAAAGTTGAACGAAACCGACAATTCCATCAAAGTGAAGATTGACAACCAATTCATATCAGGTATTAAACCTGTGATGGATTCGATTGAGAAAACCATGGAGACCAAGTTCATCAGCTTGACTGAAAAGTAACTACTGATACCGTTTAATCTTTTGAAAGGATTATGATTCAATGTGCTAACTCATTTTTTTTACTCTTTATAGATTTGTCGATTCTTTCCAGATAAGTGATGACCAAAGATTAAGACTTGAGAAAGCGCTTGAAACAACTATTCCATCGATCAATGACCAAGTTATAGAATTGAAGGGATTGTTGGAGACAAAGTTGAACAATTCTATGAACAAGTCTACAGAATTGGAAAAAATAATGTCTAAACTTGAAGATTCTTTTAAAGCCTTGAAAAAAGAACTACAGTCATCTCACACTCTGGATAAGAAAGAATCGGCAAAGCACTTCAGAGCTTTAGAAAATGGAATTGCCAAACTTGATAAGGTTATCAAGGATCAAAATCTGAAAAATGATAGTTTTGAAAACATATGCTGTGAAACTGTTGAGCTTTCAAAGTCTAAAGAAGAATTGCAAAGAAGAATTGAAGTGCTGGAGACTCTGAAGGAGGCTATGGAGGCTGATTTAAAGATTAAAAACGAAAGGATTAAAACTTTACAACTTACTAACAATACAGAAGGAAAAGATGTTTCTCAATTACGTAAAAAGGTTGCTAAACTCGAATCTGAGTTGAAGAAAACAGAACTGAAGCTATCTAAGGAGATATCCATGAATGAGGGTAAGATAAAAGTACAAGAGGATCTCTACAACTCAGCAATCGAGGAGCGTGATGATGTTTACAAACAATTCGATGCACTCCAGGAGAAGATTTCTGACCTCAATGCACAGTTGACAACATATCAGAACATCGAATCAGAGAAGAAACAATCCGAGGAGGAGTTTCAGAAGAGCTTTGAAACAAAGGAAACAACAATTTTCCTTCTACAAAGAGAAAATGACGAGCTCAAGGGAAAGCTTGATGAGTTAAAGACCCAGATCAACAGTTCAAAGAATCTTGAAATCGAGGATCTTGAGAATACGTTGGCTTCACCTTTGAAATTGAATCCATTCATAACAAACCGGTCGGAATCTGCAATGGCAGCAGCACCAGGGTCATCAACATCCAAATCAAAGAAGAGAGTATTCTCTAACAAAAGCAATCCGTCTGCTTCCACTATTGCACAGACAAATACAGATCTCATCGACGATTTTGATATAGAAGATGACCTTCCAAGTGCACAACCAGAAGTCATATTCAAACCGAGAAGGTATACAAAGAGGAAGAGAACTTGCAAATGATGAATGAGCAATATATACAAGACTAATTACAATGCTATTTCAAGAGAGCTAACTTCATTCCCTTTCAATCTCCTCCCATACCCGTTTTCCATCCAACCGGTGCATCATCTTCACCCGCTCACCTTTAGTGTCATCAATGTGCAAGACTGGAACATCAAAGCAGTATTTATCCCACCAGTGTGTATTCATAACATCTGAGATGTCCACGTACTGAAACTCAACGTTCTTTTGTGGGAATTCCTCAGAGTCTATTATGTCCATCATCACCTGTTTAGCCCTATCGCACAACCCACACCCTTCCTTACCAAAAAGCGTTAGAACCTTCCTTGGTTGCTTATAACAGTACTGTGAAGTCGAGATTGACCGTATGAGCCGCTGTCTATGTGTGATTATTCCTCGCAACATTGCTCTTTCTTTCCGAATTGATAATATCTATGCTCTTCCTTCTCATATCACCTCGTCTCAAGACACCGAAAATCATCATCAACTTTCTAACATTGGCGAGAAGCTACAAAAAAACATCCGCACACCAAGACTATACAGAACCAAGGAAACGACTACATCGTGAAATGGGTTACATGACAACTTGACGATAACATAGGCCTAATTATACGTCCACGACCTGACTGGTGATGAGATGTTTGAGCTTGTATTTGTCTTCCACGAGCCTGGTCTCAAAGGTCTCTCAGCTAGCGGATCCAGTCCTTTTAAGCCGTTCCCATTTGCAATACTGTGCAGGTTATAGGTCTGGGTGCCAGCAGTTGGAGCTGTATCTATTACTGACACTGATCCGCCATGGACTTCATCGTACCAGTCTTGGACCACTGGCATTCTCCGAGCCAATATTTCGCATATTCTTTCAGTTTTATCCCTTATTGAACGGGCGTTGCGGACCCAGAGTCCTGATTGGATCAAATACTTCAAATTCGCATCCTGATCCCTAACCATTGAAGGTATTGTAAAGATATCACCGTTAGTTTGTAATTCCACAAGTCTTAACAACAAGGAATAGCACAATTTGGTTAGTTCCGAGTCTTCTGTGAACTCGACAGCTTGTTTGAATATTGGAATAATACTTGTTGCATCTAGCATACTGGAATGAGAAATCATATGTCTTAGCAATGTCTTTGTCTTTGAAACTGTCATTATTAAGGTATCCCTATCCAAACGACCTTGAACTGTATAGAGCCCCAATCTCATGTTGATCAAATACCGTATAAGCACAGCATGGCTCTGTGCTATTGGACCAGGATGCCTCCAATGTACTCTAAATAACTCCAAGACTCGAGAGTCGTTTGATTCGCCGAAGCTCCAATGAGAGTAGCAGTACTGAATAACCATCTCAATCAAGCTTCTAGCCAAATAGGTGTTCACCTGTTTCAACAATTCAAATATTTCACCAGTGTCAATGATGAAATCCATAGTCTCATTGAAGCTCTGCAAAAAGATGGTACCATTCTCCATAGAACAACAGTT